TTTGTGTGGTTTCATATGAGAAGTGAAAAGGGTGTAGTAAACAAGACACACACACACACACACACACACATATGTATATATATATGTATGTGAAGTCAAAAGTCATGTTTTTCCTACAGTCTAATAGTTTTTATTCTGGAGAAAGTCTTGGGCTGTTTATTTTAGTCTGGCTGGAGTAATATCAGTTTATATAGACCTAATAAGCATGTCAATATAATTAACCCCCTAAGAGTTTATTTGTCAAACAAACATTTGTCATGACCCGTCACTCAAAAGCATCTATGGCTCCTTCATTTATAATGTAGCCAAATTAGGTTTCTTGAAAGTTTTCTTGCTGTATAAGCTGTTTATTTTGTTATTCTTTTAACGTTTGTTGAATATACAGAATTATATTTTAAATACACCCTTTTAGTTAATGAGCTGTTCATCTTCTGTAATTCTGAACATTTTTTTTGTAAAAACTGTGATATTTCTATTGCATCCACTCCCATATTTAAAATACTATAGTAATGTATACTGTAGTGCTTTTGAACCATGTTATAAAATAGCCTATTTAAATTTTATAGTTCTGGTATCACAACAACTACAAACACAACCCAATACTGAATAAACATGTTCAAAAATGCAGTAATATTTACTATAAATCACCATAGTATTTTTTCATGAGGTCATTCGTCTGCGATAAGAAACGCGAACGAGAACTCCGCCACTGGTGACGACTCCAGGTGGCTAAACTGCGAGATTCAGCAGGTGTCCGACTTCTGATGTAATTTTTGAGCCCTCCTCTTACTGCACACGCCTGCTCTCGTTTACAATGCAGTCAAGGCGAGGCGCACCTCAAACGAGCCTATTCTCATTGGCTGGCTGTAGCCAATAAACTGGCTTTGCTGCTCTTTTACTGGTATGTACATTACAGTAGAATTTATGATTTTTAACAAGAATCTCTTCAGAAAAGAGTTTAAATAAACCCTAACTAATGAAATAATCGTGGGAAATGATTATTTTGCACCTCAGTCCTGTTGGCTGCTGGCATTGTTCATTGGTCAGGCTTCAGCCAATCAAACAGCTTTACACCTGCCCCGCCCCTCCCCCGCCCCGCGCTGCTCACGCCTCTGCATCTGCGAGTGCACAGATGAGTTCTGCTACAGAGATCGCGGGAGATGTGTTGCAAAAGTCAGAGCGCGGGAGATTTGTAGTTGTACTGACGAATCTGAGAGGTTGTGAGTGCCGACCTGTGGTTGTAGAGCAAAGATGCAATCAAATTTGCCGTGCACACATGTGTCTGTCACTTTGTATTTGTGAATGACATTTTACAAATACACAACTATTAATCTGCAACTTCCAATTTAAAACACAAGTGTGTGGGTTGTTGTGTGTGTGTGTGCAAATCGAGGATTTCAGCTGTTCACATCAGAGCTGTAAGTGTACATTTCAACCTACACATACAAATATTATTATCACAAGTGCTCACATTTACATTTGCAAGCTCTCGAGTTTCGCAACGGATTTACCTTCATATTTTTTTCTCTCTCCTATAGAGCTAGCATCACATCCTGATAAATGACAAGCAGACAAATGGCACTATGAAGATGTGCTTTAAACTGGAAGACTAAATTGTAAAGCAGATATTGCACCTTCTGTTGTAGAGAAACACAAGTAAACTGAATGGCTTATTTGTGCTGCTCTATTTTTATTTTAATTATTTAGATTATTGCTCTGCAATCTTGATTCACATTCAAGGTGAGACACTGGGGACAAAAACACTGTTCATGCCACTGTCAGTGTTAAGGTTTTAGGCTTTTTGCCTTTTCATAAAGGGATTTTTCAGGTTTTTTATTTATCACTATGGGTCAACGTTTAAATTACAATAACTATTTTAAATGCAAAGAAATGCAGTCAAAATAGTGCATATTTAATTTTAAAACACCTAATTTATAAAGATTTTTTTTGCAATTCCAGTAACAAATCAGCTAGGGAAATTATGATGAGGACAATTAATTAATTAATTAATTAAAATTTTTTTTTGCAGTGTCTTACTTAAAAAAACAACAACAGATTAACATAAACAAATGCTCAACACTATCTCAAAACCACAAAACCAGACAATTTAAACATGATCAGAATTTTGGTAGTATTATTTGTACATATTTGTACATATATGATAAATGACAAGCAGACTAGTGGCAATATGAACATTTGCTTTTAATTGGTAGACTGAATTGTAAAGCATATGCTGCATCTTCTGTTGTGGAGAAACACAATTAACTACTGTAAATGGCTATTTTTATTTTAATTATTATCATTGCTCTGCAATCTTGATTCACATTCAAGGTGAGACATTTAGGACAAAACACTGTTCATGCCCCTGTCAGTGCTAAGGTTTTGGGCTATCTGCCTTGTTTTAAAGGGATTTTTTCAGTCCAATGGAGAAAAAAACATTCAAATGCACTTAGAATGTTTATAGGACTTTATCATTTTGTGTCTATATACAAATTACAATAAATATTTTAAATGCTAAGAAATACATCCAAAATAGCACATATTTAATTATAAAACACCTCATATACAAAGAAAAATTGTAGTTTTTTGCAATTCCAGGAACAAATCAGTTGCTGCAGTGTCTTGCCTAAAAAACACAGGTGAACACATACAAATGCTCAACACTATCTCAAAACCAGACAATTTAAACTTGATCAGAATTTTGGCTGTTACATTCGGCTCTAAATAAATGCCGTCTGTGCATTCTGCTGCATTATTTGTGCATATGTGTTCGCGTTTGTGTGTGTGTGTGTGTGTGTTTTGGAAGGTGGGGGGGGGGGGGGATTGGAGACTCCAAGCCAATTACCACATCCAGCAGACAGACTCAGACTGCCTGAGCCTTCCTTCCAATGAGAGCACGGCTGCGAGAGCCGGGGCCCGACGGGGTTGCCATGGCAACTCAGGAGCTGCTTGCATGGCGGATGATGCTGGGGTGATGGATTACAGTAATGGGATGGGGTGAGTGCAGAGAACTCATGCATAAATATATCGGAAATGTATGAATAAATCTGAAATGCATAGACTTAAAGGACACCGAGGAGGAGAGAGTGGAGGATGTTTGAATTCGGCCTGTTCCACACCTTTGGGTCTGACAGTCACAGATATTGCCTTCATGAAAGTCTGCTGTCTCAAGGGATTCCTTATGAAAGTATTTTCTAAAGATATTTGGGATTATGGACTTGGAAGGGCCTTGTGTCATGGTAATATTTAACATTGGACTGCTTCAAAAGATGTTTTTTATGTTAGTCTGCTAAACCATCTGTTTGGTCTTTGACTATATATATATATATATATATATATATATATATATATATATATATATATATATATATATATATATAGTCTAAAGCTGTTCTTATTTTTCTACCTTTTTCTATATACTGATGGAATCCAAGGCCCTGCTGAGTTCTAATGCTTTCCTGAATTCTGTCACTGTTTTGCCATCTAGTGTTAGATTTGTGACACGACATGAGTAGAACTTGGATTCATGCACATTTGCTTCCAATAGTATTTTACACAAGGGTTTTTGTCCTAAATAAATGGTCTTATTTTTAACAAGCTTTTTAAAATTGATTTTATGTTTTTTATGTTTTTATTTTCATGCAATATTGTTATCAGTATAATTTTTTAGGGGTGGCTAGAAGAGGCCACACCAAATCTTAGGGTGGCACACAAAAAATAATGAATTCAGTGGAATGTTAATTTTTTTTATTTCGGGTTATTAAAATAATGTGGGTTTTCATTTAATTAATTAATCTTTAAATATTGCAATTGATAACTTTTCAGTTGTTTTTTTCAGTGTACATCATTATATGCCATGTCTGAAATTATTGAAGATTAATAAATGAATTTAATAAAAATCAACAAAATGAACAAAAGACATATATACACACACACACTTACCATACAGACCCATATATGATCATTTATCCATATTCCTTTTTGAGCCACAATATTATTGAAAGGCTACAGCTTCTTCTATTGTCATACCTTGAGGTAAATATTAAATTGCCATATTGAAGATCTGAGGGGCAGTGAATAAGCTACGCCAGTGACAATCAATCCACGATAATTTAGTGGCTGCTATTTTTTTATTGAAATATTATGAATTTACGTAAGTACATTTAAATTAATAATATCAACAGCAAAGGGAAGGGCACAGTGGTGGCCAGAGTTTACAACAGTGGTGACAGTAGCCACCTCTTGGGGGCGCCCTCGTTAAGAAATACATTATCAGCGGAAAATCACAACACAGCATATTAAAGCTGTTTCCCCCTAACTGACTCGGTTTAATATAGTAACTCACAATTGCGAGACACTCGTAACTCAAATTAGAAAGTTAGAATTGCCTGACAGATGGATGGACAATAACATGTACTAAAGTTGTTCTGGCAGTTCATGCCGCTGTGGCGACGACCCCTGATGAAGGACTATAAGCCGGAGGAAAATTAATGAATAAAAGCTATGATTCCACAATTCAGAATTCAATTTAAATGAATGAAGATTGAAAAAATAGTTATAGGATCTATTTTAAATATTTTTTTTGATAATAACGATTGTTTTTTTTTCCCCAAAATTGTCAAGCATTTTCAAGAATTTCTGCAATAATCAACGATCTATTGAGTTGTGCAACAATTATGAAAAGCATAATGATATAGAAGAACAAAAAAATTAATAGGTAAAATAAAATAAAAATAACAAATAAAGAAAAGATTACAAATAATTCTAGGCCTTACTAACTCACTTAAGTGTCAAACAAATACGCGGTTTTACAGCTATTTTTGTTTGTAGCTAATAACTACTCTTTTAAGAACCACAAAAAAGGTTTCTGGTTGCTAAATTTAGGTCGATGGTTATAAAAATTAATTGGAAAGTACAAAATAATCAACGATCTAGTCTTATACACTATAAATATTTAAATATCTATGGTCTTGACAAGTTACGGATCGACTACGTCATCTCCGCCAACTACATCATCTAAAACAAACATGGCAGATGGGTGGAGCATGTGAAAAAGCAGAAGAAAAAGAAGCGAAATGTTACTAAATTTCCATTCCGTTCATGGCTTCAAGTGCAGGTCAGTTGCTCATCTCTAAATAGGTCTACTGTAGTGTTCCCCTTTTCCTTTAGCACTACGTTAACTGCTAGAAGTAGTAGTGAAGAATAGCACAACATGAGTTGAAGTTAGTGATGGTGAAATGAAGCTTTCTAAACCAGTAAAGCGCTCTACCCAATTGTATCGAAAAAAGGTTCGTTACTCGAAGCCGGCAGCCGCCAATAGTTACAGTAAGCTCAACTTTCCTTAACTTTTCCCATTCATTCTCTATGGTTGTGCTTAACACTACTGATGCAATATACTTTTGGCCACACGAAGATTATTTGGCGCTGTTTCGTCATTTCCGTCGCGGGGAATTAAAAAAGCCAGTGTTTGCGAAAGGAAAGGTTTGTTTACTGAATTGTCAGGTAAAAAAAAAAAGTTTTGTGTTGTACAACAAACGATTACTGACCAAACCATCTTTACACAAACTTTGCATATGGTGTTTTAACTAACGTGATCAAACAGAAAAGGTAAATATATAAGTATAAAATTTGTATAATTTATAAATAATATTGTATAATAAAAAAATAGATTATTGAACAATAATATAATGAGAAATGGGATATTGATTAATATTAAATGTTAAAATAGAATGAAAATTTAATTGCATATTAATAAATGTTTTGTTTTCAAGGGACTTTGCTAAATACATATACATGTATTTATTTATTGATACATTTTAGATTAATTTATTTATTGATAATTTTATTGATACATTCATTATTTAATTATTATCTATTACAATCATTATTTTAAAAAATTGTTACACACACACACACACACACACACACACACACACACACACACACACACACACACACACACACACACACGTTACTAAAAATAAAAGATGGCAAAAAAGTTTTCATTTTAGTAGTATTATATTTATCATAAAAACAAATTATTAATAGAATACAAAATTTAATATTGTAAAATATTAGTAAATGTTGAAATTGAATTACATATTGATTTATTTTATTTATTAAATTAATTATTTATTTTTCAAGAATTGTATTTATTCAATTTAAATAAATGTATTTATTGATATAAAAGTTATAATTACATTATTTCAGATTATCCAGTTACATTAATTGTTTATTACAAAAAGTAAATCATTTGAATCTCAATATACATATTTGTTTAAATAATGCAACACAATATTAACAATAATTGCTTTATGTGTATAGCAAAGCAAGAATAAAGGCAAGATTCAAGTGTGCTTCAAAGGACCAACTAAATATCGGAGACAAGATTTACTTACATTAATTTATTTTAATTTGTAAAAATGTAAATTATTTTGCTTATTAATTACATAATTATTTATTTTAAACTTCATTCTATATATTTACTTTTATTATTATTATTTATTAACTGTACTGTAACAATTAAATTTTTCAGTAATATGTTGCTATTGTGCTCTATTTAATGAAACAATTTTTGGTATCTACTGGTTGTATTTTCTATGGATTCTATACAATGATCTGTGATTATATATATTTATATATATATATATATATATATATATATATATATATATATATATATATATATATATATATATATATATATATATATATATATATATATATATATATAAAACCAGTATAACACACACACACACACACAATTTCAGCTAATTTTTTATATATTTTCTCTGCTTCTTGATTTTTTTTAGCCCGTTATTAAAATTGTATTGATTTTTTTCTGCCATGTTTTAATTTGGCTGTACAATTTTTTTGGACTAAGATATTCAGTTTTTTTTTGTTAGAGAAAATGTTAATTTAAAAGAGAGATCTGCGAAGGGTGTACTCACTTATACTGAGCAATATGTATATATATTAAGGGTGTCACGATCCTCCAAATCCTCGATTCGATTACATTTTCGATTCTAAAGGCACGATTCGATTCGATTTTCGATTATGAAAAATTAATGAATTAATGACCAATTAATTATTTGTAGCCTACCGTTTAAAATACCTGACCTGGATGGTCTTTGTTTTACCCATAAACAAATCATACAGTAATTGAATAAAGGCAAGATACACACATAATTACCACCTGTCAATCACTTTTTCTGCGGGACTCGTGAATAGGCAGTGATCTGTGTCGTTATAATGGCGTCGGTAAAAAAGACGCACAACCAACAGGAACCAGCCAACAGTATCTGAGGTGTTCGCTAAAATGACTAAGTACAAGTGAGTGAAAGATTGAAGCAGTCCTCTGACTGCCTGGACCTGCTCTCTCGAGCGCATGGCTGTGTATGCATCTGTGTCTGTGTGGTCACGTGATGTGCATTTTCAGAGGTAGAGAGGAAGGAGGGCTGCTCAGAAATGCTACACGCCACTGTGGATGTCAAATCGTTGTCGTTCTAAAATATAATATATATATATAATTTTAATATATATAATTATTAGCCCCCCTAATAATTTATATTATAATTATTAGGGGGCAAATAATTCTGACTTCAACTGTATGTACAGATTTAAGATTAATTAAGCAATCATTTTTTATTTATATAGAGCTTTTAACAGCATATTGACAAAGCAATGAGCAGGATCAAACTAAATCAAATATACCCTATATGTTATATTCCAAATACATATTTACATCACATTTCGTAAATGCTACAGTGTAAATGAATGAATAAATAAATTATTGTTATCATTTATTCATTTATATGAATAAATAATGACACAAGCACATTTGTTTCAAGATTGAATGTATCTTTATGCAAAATGATCATTTATTTTATTTTAATTGTACTTAAAGTGTGTCTAGATGAAAAGCAAATACAAATTCGTTTTATATTATTTGTGGCCGAGACGGGATGTGAACCCATAATTTTGTGAATTTTACTTGTCCCGCCTACCTTCGTTCCTATTGGCTAGACATCTCTCTACACCTACGTGCGGCTAGCTTCTTGGAGGAGGCTATGTGAGCGGTGCTTTTGGACTGCACTCGTCATAAATCCTAAATCATTAACATTTTTATTTTTATTTTAAAATATCCCTCATGGTATTTATCAAACTAATGTTGAAGTTTTCGAAAATGATGTGGCCGGTTTATGAGGTGTAAAACTTTTTAGTCTTTCAAATTGTTATATTTTAAGTCGCACTAGTAAACTCACAGTCCTCAGAAAAGCTTGAAACAAGATATTTCCTGGTTCTTCAACAAAGAGTGAATGTGTTAGGAGGAAATGGTTGACAAACAGTGAAGAGTCTCACTCTTTATACTGATATGTTTGACAAATTTATTTTTTCAAATCAATGTTCATCTACCAAAACAATGGCCGGGATGGATGTGGCATTTCCCAGCCTCAAATTGTGTCACAGTACACCCCTGGCAAGATGTAATCTTAGTGAGAAAATCACAATGCAAAAAAAGTCTGAATTATAAGATTTATAGGTATTGGATGTCTCTGAAATATAAACTTAGAATTCTGAGGAAAAACAAAACAGTTGTGATAAAAAATATAAGAAATTAAAAGGTAGAAACTCAGTATTGCAAGATATTAGCTTGGAGTAGTGAAAAATAAGCTCAGAATTCCACGATATAAACTTGAGAATTGTGAGATTAAGTTAATAGTCATAAACTTAGCTCTTTTAGTTATTGTTATTTATATAATAGAATCGTTTTACAATAAGAAAACTACAGAGCATGTTAAATAAAAAATCCTTCAGTCTTTTGCAACACATTGTATCACAACAGTCAGAAAAACCTGTTTCTAAAAATGCTTTTTGCATAGAAAAGGGTGTTAGCAACTATATGTAGTACCTAAAAGTCTGTAAAAGTTCACAAAATAAAGATTGAGTGCGCCCTTCCAACTGTTAGAAGATAAATCTTCAGTTTACACAAGATAGGATATCCTGCTAATAATTATATCTTGATAAACAACTTCTTTACTTAGCATAATGCAAAACAAACAGATCAGTTAAAATTGGCAAATACAAAAGAAAGAATAAATAAGATGGCTACCAATTAAGAATTGTTCCCAGGACTTGTAGATGTATATCAAATATGTTTGACATCCTCTGTCTAGAATTAACGACTGGTGCTTAAATAAAGTGTTTGTGCCCATCATACACTATGCATATTTCTGTCCATTTTTTCAACTTTGACATCTCAAAATCTGCAGACTGGCTGTGACTTTTAGCAAGTAATGTCAACTCACTTCTAAAGTTTTATTTAAAAAGTTTAGGAGGAGTATGATAATCATGCAAATCAGCACAGGAATAACTTGTTTACATAACTACTTTGATATGTGTATACATCCAGCCAACTCCTCTCGTTCTCGTGAGATTTTTCTGGCATCCCTCTTCCACCTCTGCTCCTCGGCCTTAATCTATTTCTCATCCCATTTTATGGATAGGGGGAGTTTTCTGGGTTCGGGCTGAATTTCAAGCACACCAAATATACTTACTTGCTCAATCAGATTATATGTGAGGGTGAACTTTTGAACTATTCATTGGGGGGAAAAGCTATGTAGTGCATTAACTGAGGAAACAAGTGAAGAAAACAAGTTGTGGGAACAAAATCTTAAGATCTATTTACAATGTAATGTGCAGTCCTATATGGGTATATACAATTGCATTTTTATTTTAAAGCAGTGCTGCATATTTACTCAAAGCAAGCATGTTTACCTTGCTTACTCTCCTTGCAGTACACTTGTCTGTACTTCAAGGAGAACTAAATAGGGGATTAAGGCTGAAATAAATTTCAAATTGTGTAGAAGGAGTGGTTGATTGTGGTTTCTGGATGAACAAACAAGGTGAAAAAGGTGTACTTATGGGCGTGCTCCTTGGGTGTGCTCCTATAGGTGAGCCACAGTCGTAGCCACAAGCACATTCTCTTAGTAGTTAGACAGCTCTGACGGAAAGTCCGCTGATGTGGTATGTCACTGCAGACGAAGGTGAGTATGTGTGCTGAATTCTCTATTTAGGATAAAGTAGAAATTCTGAGATTAGGTTTATATATGTATTGACAATTGTGATCGATCTATTGATAGTTCTATATATAAAGCAATGTAGTACAACTTCATGAATTACATGAACAAAACGTTTTTAAATATGTGCAACCTTTTCCTTTCATTTTCTGTTTTTGTGTAGGAGTGAAAATTGATCACTTTCATTTTTACTGCATACACAAGCTCTGGTTGAACAATTCAAATTCTCAGACTTTCTAAAGCTGACTGTAACCAAAGAGAGTTTGTTTTGAGTCATCTTACTAAACCGAAGTAATCCACCATGGCACGTGAACAGGACTACTACACTCTCATGTCTGGTATGCAACAGCTTGATTTGCAGGGGAACGCAGTCCCCAGTGATCTTGTACTAATAGGAGAGCATGCCTTTCCACTTGCCATGAATCCAAGAGGTCAGGTGCTCATGGCTGCATCTCATTACGGTCGGGGTCGCATTGTAGTGCTGGGACATGAAGAATACTTAACACGATTTCCTGGGCTGATAGAGAATGCCATAATGTGGCTCATGCCATGTACCGGAGATGCTGGAGTTGTAGGGATTCAGAAAAGTTTACGAACAGTAGCTGAAAACTTGAACTACAGCCCTTTCAAGACAGAACTAGGAGACTTTCAAGATAGGTTCGCTATATATATCACTGATGCGTACAGTGTTGAGAGCTCTGCAAAGGATCTGATTGCTTTCCTCAAAGCTGGGGGTGGTTTGATCATTGCTGGACAAGCATGGAGTTGGTCTTATGAACACCCACAGGAAAACACTATCAGGAACTTTCCAGGAAACAAGGTGTGCAGTGTTGCAGGCATTTACTTTTCAGAGCTTGAAGGAGAAGTCGGCACCTTTCCTGTTCCTCGAAATATCCCTTCTAGTTGGCTTGCCGTGGCGTAAGTCCAGGAGACATATTTAAATATTTCCCACTGATCCTTTTTTTTTTAAATCAAAACCAACATTTGACTAATTGTGTTTATTTGCTTCTTTTCAGAATAGGCAAAGACTTTAAAGAGGACCTAGAGTTCCTGCTGGAAGGTGTGTCTGAGTTTGACACTCAAGGTGGGGCTATAGCATCAGAGGTGATGGTGCACGGACCATTAGCGTTTCCCATTGCGGTCACTCCAAATGGAAAAACATTCATTGCTGGTGCCTATTATGGACAAGGGCGAGTAATTGTGGTATCCCATGAAGGGTACATGGGCCGAGACTCTCTGTCCTCTTTTATGATCAATGCTATTAAGTGGCTTGATGAGGGTCGCAAGGGTGTTGTAGGGATCGTACCCAACCTCACTGCAGCCCATACAGTACTGAGCAAATCTGGTTTAGACTGTCAATTGACCGGTTTCAGAGAAGATCTAAGCGTCTACGTCTGCACTTCCTACAGTGATGCACAGTGTGCAGAGATTCAGGAATTTGTTGCAGAAGGTGGAGGTCTTCTTATTGGGGGTCATGCCTGGTACTGGGCTCAGACCCACTGGGGCTCCAATGTGATGACTGAATACCCCGGAAATCACATTCTTAACAAGATGGGATTGTGCCTCTTGGGAAACACCTTGGGTGGAGGGTTATATAAAGCTCCAGAAATAGAGCATAGTTGTAAACATGGGTACCACTTTCGAAGCATGCTGCAGAGATTTGCTCAGCATGTAAGCCAAGGGCAAGAGCTGACTGATCGAGAACAGGGCTGTTTGAAGCAGCTGGGCACTGACTGTGCCAGTTACCTTCAAATGCGTTGTCATGACAGTGCTGCTTACACCTCAGTGGTAGCTCTTCTTAGTGACATAGTAAAGGAAGTAGGTGTTCCACAGGTGTGTAGTAACTGCCCTGTTGAAAGTCCCAAAGACCACCTGATGCTCCACATTGGTACTGAGGTCTACAAAGTGACGCCTGATCCCGACGCCCTTCTTCCCTACATCATCAAGGACAGACCCAACTTGCCAACTTTGTCAAATGCAAGAGTTCGGATTACTGCCAACACTGGAGGTACAGTTTTTGCACCAAATGTAAGGGGAAAATGTTCAAGTTTGTAATTTATGTGCACTCTAAATGTTTCAATTACTTGTTTCAGGTTGTGAAGAATGGATAAGCACAGGCTTATATCTTTCTCCTGGTATGAAGACATACATAGCAGTACCTCCAGAGATTGTTGGAAAAAATTGGCAGGTGATCTAAAAATTTTGTCATTTGTCATGTTAGATAAAGTCCTGATGCTCATAGAACTTTGAGAACTTTATTTACATAAGGAGACACTCTATGCAGGTGCAGCTTGGTTGCCAGACAGACAACATTGGTGGATCAAACACCCTGAAGCGGGCACCTGTAGTCCATGCACGATTCCCCTTGGATTCAGAAATGGTGCAGGTCTGGAATTTGTGGGGAGGGCTAATCTACCTAATAGCACCTTCCCAAACCAAGGTGGATGGGGTGGAAATTGTTGTGCAGACTGCAGTACAGGCTCCATACTTCAAGTCTGGTAAGAATTCGGAAATTTCAACAAGCATTACAGTCGATTGCCACATTTAAACATGTATGGTAAAACCCTTCAATTCTAAATTGTTTTGTTCCACAGGAGAGACAAGCGTAGCAGACTGGGTGAGCCATATTCGTCAGGCACCTGCCCCCTGGGCGGAGCTTGAGTTTGAAAACCTCATCATGACATTTGATTCAGCTTTCATAAGGAATCTGGACCGCCCTGATGAAGTGGCTAAACTTTGGGATACCATAATGAGAACTATAACTGACTTGGCAGCAAGGCCACCCAAATTGCCTCGCAAGGAACGTTTTGTTGCTGATGTTCAGATCTCTTATGGTCAGTGGTCCTATTGAATAATCACTGTGTATGGTTAATAATCACCACTACAGCAACTTAAACCATGGTATTTATTTTAATTACATTTCATACACTGTTGCTCCTCCCCCAAGGTTTCATGCATGCTGGATATCCCATAATGATGCACTCCGGCTCTGCTCCAGGACTAGTAAATGTTGAGGAAGCCTATAAATGTGGCCTCTGGGGAGCCATTCATGAGCTGGGCCATAACCAGCAGCGTGGAGTTTGGGAGTTCCCTCCCCACACCACTGAGTGCACATGCAACCTGTGGTCATTGTATGTACATGAGCAAGTGTTCGGCATAAAAAGCGCTAATGCTCATCCAGCCATCACTCCAGCAGACCGCCAGGCTCGTACCAAGATGTATTTTGATGGTGGTAAAGATTTAAACAGCTGGTGCATGTGGATGGCACTTGAGACTTACATGCAGGTGCGAATAGACTGCCAGTTTTTTTTAATCTTGTTGTGGATTATAATTGTGTTTTATTTAAAGCAATACTGCATAATTGTACCCATTTCACTCATTTTCCATCATCTCTATTTATATTTTCTTAAGCTTCAAGAAAAATTTGGCTGGGATGCTTTCAAGAAAGTCTTTTCTCTCTACCATGACATGACCGGTGTGCCAAATGACAACGCAGGGAAGATGAATCTATACGCCCAGACCTTCTCCAAAGTGGTCAACCTGAATTTATCCCCATTCTTCAAAGCATGGGGTTGGCCCATCCAACCTAACACAGAACAGAATCTCTCCCATCTTCCTGCATGGAGTGACCATCCTGTTAGCCAGTATGCATAAAAACACATCGAATAGCTTTTTCAAAGTATATGCATATATGAAGTGGACATTGTAGTAATTACATTTTGCTATTCGTTTAATAGGTGGAAGAGCAATTAACTTATATCAGTGTGATGCACGTTTGCTCAGCACAGTGGAGATTTCTTTAGTTGTATCGTTTTAGTCGTTTGGGATGCGGTGACACACAGTCAAATATTTCACCTAACAGATCAGACACTTTTGACGCTCATAAACAACCATGAATTCCTCATGCTGCAGGAATTATGAGGTTTGCTAAAGGTGCAGCTGTCGTGCAGTGAGAGGTTTGCGTCTATATTAATCTACGACAGTTAGCGTTTATTGAACAATAAGAATGATTAATAAATTCATATGAAACTGTCATAAAAAGTCACGTCTTGTCCTCAGTTTCGGGCTCAGGCACGGTTTGCACTCAATACAAGCGTACCGCGCTGAGCCCAAGTAAACCGCGCTCTGGCACACCTCTTCCAACCGGGCCAGGTCCGGCTAAGTGATCCATGCCTGAGCCTGATTGAGAGCACTCACACTTCTTAAACGAAAGGGCCTGGGCACGGTTTTGGTGGCATAGTGTGAGTACGCCCTAAGTGGGCTAAAGGTAAATATATACCAGAATATATGCTCAAAACACAAAATCAAACTATTATACTGCAGTTACAAAAATGATTGCCTTTTCAACTATATTACTTGGCATTTTGGTGTATTTTGAATCTCTTTCTTAATCTCCAAGAAAATAAATCTTATAAATTATTCTAAAATAAGTCTCTGTGTGTAATGTTGATGGGATTTGAAAACACACACGTGCTATTACTAATGCTTAACAGATTTCTTTCATTTATTTGAAGCTGTTAGTTAGCAGCTTTGCATTGGCCGCTAAACAGCTCATTCACCGGTGCATCAGAGAACTGCTGTATGAAGTCGACCATCTCATCTAGGCTTCTTTCCACAACAACATTCAGCTCTGTGTTGAGGGCAGTCGCAGCTCCGCTTAGGATGGGCCGGCCATTTTGATCAATGCAGCAGAAAGCATCCCACAAGTACTCTGGGATGTTTACCCTTTTCACATTGTTCTTGATGATCCAGTTGTTAGAAGAAGGGATGGCACCAACCAGAACATAGGCCTGATGACAGTTTGCTTTAAACAAGCTGGTCAGTTTAGACTCGTGTTTATTCCAAGCATTCTGGTTCAGCGTTGGGTTTTGAGGGACCACATTCGTCAAGGTAAAGGTGGCATTACGACTTGGAACTAACACAAAGGGGATGTTACAAAAGAGAGAAAAAGCAAACATTAGAAACAAATTTTAAGATATTGTGCCAATGTAAGTCCAAATAATAACAGATCTATCTGAAACAATGTTGTGGAGGCTAATTGACCATTTACACAGTAACTGGACTTTGATTAGTTAATCTGAGCACTTGAGGTGAACTGTCATGCCATTTAATACTCACTGTGTTTAAATTGTGCCTTGTTAAAAATTTCAATCTACACTGCCTTATTGATACCAACACTTAATTTCTTAAGTAATATGGATGCTTGGTTTATTTAAATGCTTATATTCTGATTATTCTTTTTAAATATTACACTATCAATGTTGTTAAAAAAAATCTGATCATATTGAAACCAAAGTGACACCACCTTTCAGTGAGTTTTTTTTTTTTTTTTAAGATCAATTCTTTATTAGTTTTACCTGCATGATGTCCATTAGGGTTTAGATGGCCTCGATCAAATCCTGAGTTTGTGTAGTCTTCATTCAGAGCCTGTTTCTCTCCCAGATAGATGTCTGGGTTCTGCTGAGACAGCTTATACCCATCTTCCATTTCAGTGGACCATGCGGGACTCACCAGCTAGCAAAACATAACTGCTTATTCAAGAACTGTCAGAATTACAATAATATATAAGTCTAAAATGTATTAATTAGCACTACTTACTTCAACAAATTACCATGCCACATGAAAACATACAATAGTAATTTATAGTAAATACTATATTGTTTTGGATCCATAGTATAGTGCAGTAGTGCTCAAAGTTTTTTCAGTAAGAACCATCTCCGAAAAAAAAAAAGTTCCACCATAATGACCAGTATTAAGGTACAGTAGCATAGTAGGCCTAATTAAGCAGCTACAGCACTGCACAGTTCAAAAACGTGGCAAATCAATTCTTATTAAGAATGTTTATGGTAACGCAGTAGGTAGTGCTGTCGTCTTACAGCAAGAAGGTCGCTGGTTCGAGCCTTGGCTGGGTCAGTTGGCATTTCTGTGTGGAGTTTGCATGTTCTCCCTGCGTTTGCGTGGGTTACCTCCGGGTGCTCCGGTTTCCCCCACAATCCAAAGACATGCGGTACAGGTGAATTGGGTAGGATAAATTGTCTGTAGAGTATGAGTGTGTGGATGTTTCCCAGAGATGGGTTGTGGCTGGAAGGTCATCCGCTGCGTAAAACGTGCCAGATAAGTTGGCGGTTCATTCCACTGTGGCAACCCCAGATTAATAAAGAGACCAAGCCGAAAAGAAAATGAATGAATGCAGAATATTTATTTTTGTCCGCCACTTTAAACATTATAAATAGTTTGAACATTAACACTACACTGTGGGTACAGTTAAAAAAATGAATAAAAAGTCAATGTTTAAGTTTAAAGAGCCCATATTATGGGTTTTTGAAAATTCCCCTCCATGTAGTGTGTAACACAGCTCTAAGTGAAGTAAAGTATCCAGCTAAGACTTAAATCTGTAAGAATACAGTGTTTAAAACTGTTGATTCATCTATAAAAGAGTCGACTCATAGTGCTTCAAACGAGTCGCCTTGATAACGATTCATTAGGTGTTTCGCCATGACGTAGAGAAGGCTTTGTGTGTCAGAAAAGCAAGTCATTACACCATACAGTACCTGTCAACATTGCGATATAAAAATATGGGATATGCCTCCAACATCTGTTACAAATATCGAGAGGAAAATCAGCTTCAGTGATAGAATACATAACAAACTTTAGAAAATTTAAAATGAAATAAATGTTTTGCCTATAAAAATCAAGTTACTGATCGGTGTTAACGAACGCGTCAAAGGGTTAAAAGTGTTTATTTTTTTAAAACTTTTAATTTTTCAGCGATTCCTCCGCATACCAATAGTGGTATGCGTACCACAGTTTGAGAACCACTGGTATAGTGTATTGTACTGTATTATTATGTTTATAACACATTGTTAATGAATGCTACAGCATTCTGCAGTATTACACCTTGTAAACTGATACACTGGATTAAATACTGAAGTATTTAATCTAAGTATTTAATTTAATATTTACTACAGTAAACTGATCTGTTTTGGTATATACTGTACCCTATAGTTTAGAGAAATAAGAGTATTAGGTAATGTTTAGGTCCTATTTTATATGAAGTAGCCTTTACAAATATGCACTTACACTACATATTAGTTATTAATCGTTTGTTACAATGTTCTTATTGTGTAAATACACGCTTTTTACATTGTGCTTTTTACATTGTGTTTAAAGCTGTCCCTAACTATACCCATATCCCACCTCAAGAACACCAGAAGTGTTCTGCAATACATTATGCAACACTGTTAGTACATTGCGTTTATATTTTGATGTACATGCATCATAGTTTAGGCCCCTTAAAATAAAGTGGGACCACTGTTAACTATACCCTTTCTTGTTGTATACCACAGCAGCTATTGAATTACCACAACAGATTAATGCAAGTACTTTACTACATTATGGTTCAAAAATACATTACTATAAATCACTATAGTCATAGGATGTTTCTTTTGATATATTTCTCAGGGTAATGCACTCCACTACATTATATAGATGTTTGATTGTTTGTTAATCCAAATATCCAATGAATCAGAAATTTACTCACAATTTCTCTGGGAAAATTGTTTGTACAAAATGATTTGAACAATGCTTGAATAATTTAACAAGTAAAACAGAACTTTAACATTAAAAAAGCCTCATGTGGCCAACTGAAATGTGCTGTGGACAAATAAACTTTAGTAAACTCTACCAAGAGAAACCAAATAGAATTGTTCCTTATTTGTTAGCACAACAAAACAGACAATTTGATAATAAAATTGTATTAGTAACTGTTAAAATGACCCAAAGAAGTCTGATTTTAAATCGTTAGATTAATAAACATATTACCTGTGGCTCCACAAACCAGCGTTTCTCTCTTCCTCCACCACTGCTTGGCTCAAAGATATAAGCGGAATATACAGCAATGCGGTGGTAAGTGTCATACAGTGTGGCGAAGTGATAGGTGTTTAGAAAGCGTTGACAAATCCGGACCAAATTTGGCTGGAAAGCTCCCAAATCTGGAATTTTCTCCTTGTAGAAAAACTTGACGCAATCAGGTGAATCCCAGAAATGATCCAGCACATGTCCATCAGCTGGACTCAGGAACAACCCAATGAAGACAACAAAAATAAGAGAAACCTCCATAGCAGACTAACTACTGAGTATAACTAAGCTCTCCTCTATCATAGTTCTCTGTTTTCACTCCCATCACTGATAACACTAGAGATAAGTAAGATTACATGGAGACAAATTTAGCAACATTTGGGGGTTGATATAATGGAGTTGATAACATAAATGACGCTGCACAATAATTTGTATTTGCACCAAAAAAAAAAGTAATTAAATTAATTATATATTCTATTCATTCATTAATAAAAGTGCAACATTTTTTATTTAAATTATTATTTGAGCTCATGCTATGTGTGTGTCACAGTGTGTCTGTATCCCATGACTGGAAAGTAGTGACCCTGTGTGAGCAGCACTGGTGTTTGTTCATGATAAAATCCTAGTAATAACAGAAAAAATGGCTCTTGTAAAGTTTGTGTTTGCTGTTATCATTCCTTAATATACGTCAAAGTTAAATCAAGGACATCTGACTTATTTTTAACACTAATATGTTTAACTTCTTACTAAAAAATAAGTACGGATGAAAATATCTCCTTAGGAAATGGGGCACCATTACTACACATGCACACATCATCATACAGTATGTTGTCATTTGCGGTAGTCATTCCAGAAGTCGCAAGCATGTTTAACGGATTAATCACTCATCAAGTTGTATTAGGGACCTCTGGGCTTCCTCAGGTCTCGTGGTGTTTACACAGTGCTCATACTCATAGATGTAACCACAAAAAAACAACATTAACTTTATATCAAACAATTTGATAGTATTTGAAAAGTGCTTCCTATAGAAGGAATGCAAGTAGCCTCAATGGAATTCATACATACCACATCAACCATTTGTCATTATCACATGGACGACTTGAGTCATTTGAGTCAAAGTTCCTTTCAAGGAAAGTCTGTTCACTCTGCTGTCTTTTTGCAACATCTTCAAGGAGTTCATCCAAGACCAAAGTCCTATCTTAAAGAGCCCCTATTATGCATTAAAATGGTCATATTTTGGTTTTGGCGGTCTCCAACAATAGTCTGCTATGCATGCAAGGTCAACTGCAACGTCATTTTCTTATAATAAGCATTTATTTTTATCTAATCATCCCAACGACTCCCATATGATTCGTTTAGTGATCCATTTGTTCCCAAGCCCCTCCTTAGCGTGATGCTAATCTGCAATGATTGGTCCCATGACCCAGTCGGTTGTGATTGGTCGACTGCGTTCAGCGAGAGACAGAGAGAATCGCCCACCATGGCCAATCAACAATTTCGTAAGTCAAGAGTGCAGAGGGTATGTGTATCCCAGTGCAGGAGTGCATTAAAGCAATGCAGTTAAACACCAGCATATTTCTCTATTCTTAACCATAAGTAAAAACAGTGACTCACATTCAGTATTAAAGTTACTTAAAGTTACAGGTTCATTTGACTAACAAAACAAACAAACAAACAAACAAATAACACTCAGCAAAGTGTGTGAGCAAATGTGGTAAATAAATAGTCTGTGTGATTAGTCCTTGAGCAGCTTCAGCTGTGAGTGTTTGCTATCAGATGAGATTAGGAACCGGTGTGTGTGCGTGCTGCATGCTGTGATTTGTAGTCCATATTGTGACAGAGTTGTAGTTCTCCAGCGATCCGCAGATAGATCGCAGGTAATTGTAGTAATATCAGTATGCCATAATAGGGGAATTACCAAACCTACTTCTCACATGATGTCACACAGGTTTAACCGCTCATACCGGTTGCAATAAAAGACTGGTTGCAATAGCAAACATGTCGTGTTGTGCGTTAGGATGCCAAAATCAGCTTAGTCCTTTTATTAATCTGGGGTCGCCACAGAAGAATGAACCGCCAACTTATACAGCATGTTTTTTTTTTGCTTCAGATGCTACAGAACCCATCACTGGGAAACACCCATACACACTCATACACTAAGGACAATTTAGCCTACCCAATTTACCTATACCGCATGTCTTTGGACTGTGGGGGAAACCGAAGCACCCGGAGGAAACCCACGCAAACATGGGGAGAACATGTAAACTCCACTAAGAAACACCAACTGACCCAGCCGAGGCTGGAACCAGCGACCATTTTTGCTGTGAGGTGAATGTGCAATCCACTGTGCCACCATGCAGCCCCTTAGTCCAAAAATAGAAAGCTTAAATTTTACCATACACCACACTGCTTTTAAGCAAACATCTTTGGCTAACAACCATCAAAAGAGCTAAATAGAGTGAAGACCTAATTAAAAATGCTTGACTCTGCACTTCTCATTTCATATCAGGTAAGTTCACACTATGGTGAATCATACACAGTAATTGTTTCAGATTGCAGCAATAATTTCAGCAAAAACAGTTAAATATGGTTAATTAAACTGCGGACTCTGAATGCTTAAAATAAAATTTTAAAATGTACGTTCACATACTCTGCCATAGGTGCAGTTCGCTGTCATAATGCAGTTGTTTTGATTGCTGATGATTACCCAGGCCTTGTACAGTTTGCGTCTTCTTTCCTTGACTTTGGCTAGGCAAAACCTTGATTTTAAGCACTACAAAGTTTTGAATCAGATAATCGTAGAACATTGTTTCTTACACATGACCAAGCAGAAAAAAACATTGTCGGCTTCCAAAGACTTATAGGCCTTTAACTTCTCTCTTGTTACAACACTCGGAGCTTCAATGAGATAGTATATATTTGGGGCTGGATGCTTGGCCATTTCGTCTTATCCAATATCCATTTGGTGGGTGCTATTGCAAATGGACCTGTCAGGCACGAACTTTAACGTAATTTTGCAGAATTACTGTTTTTATTACTGGGTGACAAGCTGTTATAATACGCTGAAAGCATCATGTAAATAATATATATATATATATATATATATATATATATGTATGTATGTATGTATGTATGTATATATATATATATATATATATATATATATATATATATATATATATATATATGTAATCAATATAACTTATCTCTAATACAACAACTCCGCATCGGATGTTCCTTCGCTGTAAATGCTAGCGATCCTGTTTTTTTCTGCAACCTTGCTGTGCACGTATCCTGAATGTTTGTTAACCAAAATTTGCCTATAAATATTTTTTATTTATAATTTTTTTACCCATTATTATTTTACCCATCTATTTTTACCCATTAATTTTAAAATGAACATTTTTTCTTTTTTTGAAAAAGACTGAAAATCATGAACACTTACTAGCCTATTATTAGTCTATTGTTTTTATGCAAATGGTAAAATCCAGAGTTCTGAGGAATGTTCAATGTGTCAGGCAGTTTATTTGCCTAATAGGCTACAGTTTTTAATTTTACACAAGTTTTACTAACTAAAACTTGTGATATATTGATGTTTGCATTTTTGTATTTGAAACAATAGGGACTCCGTAGTACGGATGTAGTTGATATAGTTCTGGCAGTTTCGGATGAAAGCAGAAAGTAAAGCTGTTGCTTAATACGGACGCTCCGACTCAAGTGTATCTTTTACAGTCAGATATATCACAGTAAAAGTTGGCGACGAGGATAAACTAATGCTCGGATGATGGCACTCATTGGAAGTATAGGTGAATTTGCTCCGAAAGCAGAATCTTGGTCGGCCTACATTGAACGGCTGGAACAGTTCTTTGTGGCGAATGAGATAAGCCAGGAGAAGCAGGTTGCAACACTCTTGAGCGTGATGGGGGCAACAACCTATGGTTTACTGAGGAACTTGGTACAACCAGAAAAGCCAAAGGATAAGTCGTACAAAGAAATTGTCGACACCTTAAAGAGTCATTTTGAACCAAAGCCGTTACTGATTGCCGAAAGATTTCGTTTTAATCATTGCAATCAAAGAGCCGATGAAACAGTTACGGAATATGCAGCGGAGCTGAAACAGTGTGCTGTGAGTTGTGAGTTCGGGGCAACGCTGGATGAAGCATTGCGTGATCGATTCGTGAGTGGAATCCGCAACGAAGCCTGCCAGCGACGGCTGTTGTCAGAATCTAATCTGACGTTTGCACGAGCGTTCGAAATCGCATTAAGCATGGAGACAGCTGAGAAAGACACGCAGCAGTTGCGAGGGCATGACTCGCACTCGAGTGTTGTACATAAGGTGGAAGTGCGACCTTTCAGTCAACGAGAGAAAAAGTGCTATAGATGTCATGGGAAAAATCATAGCGCTCAGGTATGTCATTTTAAGGATGCAAGGTGCCATAACTGCGGAAAAATTGGGCACATTAAGAGAGCATGCAGAGGAAAGATGGAAGTTGGAAAAAGGAAATTGTATGCAGAGAAGAATACTAAATATGTGGAGGCAGAGGAAGCTGAATTACCCATGTTTTCACTACGGGCTGAGGAAAATAGCAAAAAGTCATTCACAGAGACGTTTGATGTAAATGGCAAGGAAATTATGATGGAAATTGATACTGGCGCGGCCGTGAGTATCATATCTGAGAAAGAATTTAAGGCGGTATTCCCAACTGAGCCACTAGAGGTCGCCAGAGTCAAGCTAAAAACTTATACAGGTGAGCTTATGCCTGTATTAGGACAGTTTGAAGCAAAAGTGAGCTATGATGGGCAAACTGAAGTGCTAAGTTTGATTGTGGTGAAAGGAGAGGGGCCTTCGTTGTGTGGCAGGAATTGGCTGCAAAAACTCTCATTGAATTGGAGGAAAATTAAGCATGTCAGTCAAGTGCAACAAGTCACGTCTATTGAAGAGGTGCTGGAGTCATGCTCTGAGGTGTTTAAAGAGGAATTGGGCACACTCAGAGGGCTTAAGGCAAAAATACGAGTTAATCCTGAAATTTCTCCACGTTTTTGTAAAGCTCGTCCACTGCCTTTTTCAATGAAAGCTCAAGTTGATGCAGAATTAGACCGGTTGGAGAAGGCTGGCATAATCACGCCTGTTAAATACAGTGAATGGGCAGCACCCATTGTGCCAGTGGTAAAAAAAGACAAGACTCTAAGATTGTGTGGAGACTACAAATTAACTGTGAATCAAGCAGTCACTACAGAAATTTATCCACTACCGCGGATTGAGGAGTTGATGGCTACACTGAGTGGAGGTACCATGTTTTCCAGGATTGACCTGGCTTCCGCGTATCAGCAGGTCCTTCTTGAAGATGAGTCCAAAGAGTTGCTAACCATCAACACGCACCGAGGATTATTTGTCTATAATAGACTTCCCTTCGGTGTCAGTTCAGCGCCCTCTATTTTTCAAAGAATTATGGAGAATCTCATGAGAGATCTTGATGTTATTGTTTACCTTGATGACCTATTGGTCACTGGAAAAACAGAGCAGGAACACCTGCAGAGACTACAGGCGGTGCTGAAAAGACTCCAGGAGAACGGTTTGAGGGTAAAAAAATCTAAATGTGAATTTGGAAAAAGCCAAATTGAGTATTTAGGATTTGTGCTAAACAGCCAGGGCCTTCATCCATCCCCAGACAAAGTGGATGCAGTCAAGAATGCACCAGTACCTACCTGCGTGAAGGAGCTGAAAGCTTTTTTGGGGTTGGTCAATTACTATGGCCGTTTTTTGCCCAACCAGAGTACTATGGCTGCCCCGCTCTACAGACTGCTGAGAGATAACGTGCCATGGGAATGGAAACAGTCTGAGCAAGAAGCTTTTGAAAAATGTAAAGATTTGCTGACAAACGAAAAGGTTTTAATTCACTATGATCCTAGTCTACCACTTACCTTAGCTTGTGATTCTTCTGCCTATGGGATCGGCGCTGTGTTGCAACACACCATGCCCACCGGAGAAGAACGTCCCATTGCTTACGCCTCGCGGACACTGTCACCTGCTGAAAAAAAGTATTCGCAGATTGAAAAGGAGGGGTTGTCGCTGATCTTTGGAATAAAAAAATTTCACCAGTACCTTTGGGGAAGAAAGTTCAAGATGGTAACTGACCATAAACCTTTGTTGACTTTGTTTGGAGAGCACAAAAGTCTACCCACCATGGCAGCAGCCAGAATTCAAAGGTGGGCAATCATTCTGTCCGCTTACGATTACCACATTGAGTACTGTCCCTCAGAGAAAAACAGTAATGCAGATGGCCTTTCACGTGTTCCCTTACCGGAGATGACTGATGGGGGCACAGCTGCCCTATCAGAGCATATTCATGCACTAATAGCGGAGCACTTCGAACAAGCTCCTTTGAAGGCAGAACATGTGTCTCGTGTAACACGCAGAGACAAGGTGTTATCCAAGGTGCTTAAATATGTCATGGAAGGTTGGCCAATGAATGTGGATGAAAATCTAAAGGCCTATCACTTGCGGAGGTTAGAACTGTCGGCAGAGAGAGGATGTGTACTTTGGGGCACCAGAGTTATAATTCCTGAAAAACTGAGAAAAATTGTGCTGAAAGAGTTGCATGTCGGCCATCAAGGGATGGTAAAGATGAAGGCACTTGCCCGCAAGTATGTGTGGTGGCCTAAAATGGATGCAGAACTGGAACAGGTTTGTAGAACCTGTGAGCCATGTCAGATGGAACAAAAAGCACCCCGCCAGGTTCCTTTACACCCCTGGGAATTTCCTGGTCAGAGCTGGAAGAGATTACACATAGACTTTGCTGGTCCTTTCTTAGGACACACATTTATGATTATTGTGGATGCATATTCAAAGTGGCTGGAGGTATTTAGAATGCCTAACCTTACTTCACAATCCACCATTTCAAGGCTGAGAAGGCTGTTTGCAGCATACGGACTTCCGGAACACATAGTCACAGACAATGGAACACAATTCACTTCGGAAGAGTTTAAAAATTTTATGCAGCAAAATGGCATTCTTCATTCCACAAGTGCCCCAGGTCATCCCGCTACCAATGGCCTTGCAGAAAGGTATGTGCAGACATTTAAAGGGGGAATAAAGAAACTTGCACACGTGACAATGGACTTGGAGGATAAGATCTCACTGTTTTTAATGCAGTATCGCACTACTCCGAACTGCACTACAGGGCAATCACCAGCCGATCTTTTCCTTAACAGACATGTGCGCACTCGGCTGGACTTTGTTCACCCAGATGTCACTGTTGCTGTTCGCAGGAAACAGTACCTACAAAAGTTCCATCATGACAAAAGGTCTGTGGAGAGATCATTCTCTGAGAAGGATGCGGTTTACCTTCGTAATACCACAGGAAAAGGGAACAAATGGGTTCCTGGAGTGATAGTAAAGCAAACCGGTCCTGTGTCTTATAACGTTCAGGGACAAGACACAGATGGCACTTTCAGGAGACATTGTGATCAGTTAAGACCACGGGTTGTAGTGGATGATCCTGTTGAACAGATGGACTGCTCTGAGACTGGGACTGAAACTTCCGTTAGACCCTGTGCATCAGAAGAGGAGGAACCGGTCATTTCAGAGACTTCTGAAAAGGACAGTGTAGGAAATACAAGCATGGCACAGGGTCTACGTCGCTCATCTAGAATTAGAAAGACACCAAAACGCTATGACCCATAATGCTTAGGAATTACAACTGTGCAAATGCAACCAAGTTTAAAATTTGCAATGGTCTCGTAATATACTAGGTTTAGTATTTTTTTTTTTCTCTCTGCTGTTGTGTTAATGCAAGAAGAATTTAACAGCTACTGTTAGTTTTGATAGTAATGTTGTTGCATGTGCAGTTTTTTTTTATGTGAAGGTAACAGTAAATGTACTGTGTTTAAAAAGGGGGGTAATGTGATATATTGATGTTTGCATTTTTGTATTTGAAACAATAGGGACTCCGTAGTACGGATGTAGTTGATATAGTTCTGGCAGTTTCGGATGAAAGCAGAAAGTAAAGCTGTTGCTTAATACGGACGCTCCGACTCAAGTGTATCTTTTACAGTCAGATATATCACAAACTATTTGTGTTTTTTATGATAGACAGGACTAATAAACTTGTCGATACTGTAGTACCAACATATTTCTTTTTTCATAACTGTAAATTTAAAACACTAATCTCATAAAATTATTCATAAAACTGTAATATAAAGCTTGATTTTAAAAGAAAATAAATACTGTAGTAGTGAAATAATATGAGATAGATAGATGGTTAAAATATTATGCAGAAAAAAAGCATGCACATTATACCAGAAAACAAACTAATAGAGCAAATATTTATGCTTAAATTTTCACTAAAATGCAATATTTAAACCTCATCAAATTTATGGTATTACTTAAACTCAATGCTTAAACTACAGAAATACGGCGGATGACGCCCAATGATGTAGGAACCAAACAATGGATGCCGCTCTTCCCCACCGGAAATATTTACGTGTCGCGTCAGAAGAGCGTGTAAAACGAATGAATCACAAGTTTTTGTAAAGCTTTAAACGGTGCGTAAGTGATTTTTTAGATCTTATCTTATGTATTTAGCTATATTGTCTCGACTGAAATTTAGGTTTGAGGACATGTGCTTGGATACGCAGGCTGTGCAGGTTATATTGCATATAGTTGACCATATAAAGTGAACCCTTGGTAGTCAAAGTCCGACTTGTTTTATTATTTTACCACAAGACGCATTAAAAGACGTATTGTAACGAAGAGACGGAATGTTAGAGTTATGTGGTTAAACTTTTGTAATTCACGTATTCGTTTTATACAAATGTAACGTTAAAGAAGATGATTAACTTAGAGTTTATTCTGATTTTATAAATCTCAACAGTAGTAAGTTACATTTCCTGGAGTTCTGCAGTCTTGTCAGTGAATGGAGATGCAGTGCACACTAGTAAGTGTGGACGGAGATCGGGTGGTTTTGCCTGATGGTCGAGCTCTTATGTTTGGTCGAGGTCCTGAATCTAGAATTTCAGACAAGAAGTGCTCAAGGCATCAGGGTGGGTTTTTTTAGATAACACACCTATCATAGTTATTTTGAAGGCTTTACGTGTCATGATTGATCATATCTATTCATAATGGAAGTGCATCTTTGTTTCACAGTCAAGCTTGTGGCCGATTATGCCAAACAAGAAGTTCTGGTTACACAGGTAAGTTTGTCAGCTCGACATTGTGAAATCATATTTTGTATTATATTGTAATTTATATTTCATATTTTATTGATCAACAACTAATCACAGTATATGAAAAATTTGAAGAATATGCTACCATATCATTGTATGTTATTGATACGTTTACATTTGATATAAGATGGATATATTCTTTGATATTTATATTTATAAGAATGTAGTGTGAGAATTGGAATGATTGGATTAAACTTTATATGGCATGTTTGACTCAAAACAGTTAAAATTTATTAAACTTATTGATTTATTCCTAACAAAAGGCAAAATTAATCATGATTAATCGCATCCACAAAATCCAAAAGTTTGTTTTGACATAAAAGTCTGTGCTGTGTGTGTGTGTGTATATATATATATATATATATATATATATATATATATATATATATATATATATATATATATATATACTCACAGGTATGCATATATTTGAGAAAATGTTTATTTATATTTACATATAAAAATATATGAATAATGGTGAAAATAATATATACATTTAAATATCAATGTAACAAAATAGTTTTGTTTAGTTTTGTTTCTATGTATGTGTGTGTATTACCTATACATAATACATATTTATATAACACACACACTAATATTATGTCAAAATAAATTATTATTTTGAATGCAGTCAATCGTGATTGATCTTGCCCAACACTAAAAAGGACTATAAAATGAACAATAATATTCAGAAAAAAATCTATTTGAATAAGTTTTCAAAGTAAATAAGTAAAATTTTAACCAGTGAAGGCATGCGTATCCATTTTTATCACCATATGTATGAATGCATTGAAACAGAATCTTCAAAGTGAAAATGGACCTAAATGTGTAATAAGAATAAGGTGCATATTAAAATATTAGGGGTAGGAAAGCATACATGAGTAAATGATACTGTTTTTTCACAGCTCGGCCCCAACCCTTCTTCACTGGATGGTCAGTGTTTGGGTCGTGGTGAGTCTGGATGTTTGACAACTGGCCAAACGCTGTACCTGGTTAATGAGTCCTACCCGTTCACTGTGGAATTTGCCTTTCACTGTGGAATTCAGCTGTCTTCCTCTCCTCAGAAGAAAGAAAAGATTACTAATGAAAGCAAGCAAAGACAGAAAAGCTCCAAAGAAAGCTCGGGCAGCCTTAAAAGAAACATCCATGATTACTTTTCTAAATCCCCTAAAAAGGTATTAAATGTATGGTAAATATTTCCATGATACATTTGGACTACCATAAAAATAAATAATAATTATTAAAGTGAATACTTTTATTAAGCTACAATGTATTAAGTGAAGTAAATACATTTCAAATGTAAACATTTTGTGTAACTTTTACATTCATCAGAGAATCCTAAAATGTATTGTAGTACAGCACAACTGCTTTTATATAACTATATACACTGCCGGTCAAAAGTTTGAGGTGAGTAGGATTATTAAATGTTTTAAAATAAGCTTATCCTGCTCAACAAGGCTACATTTAAAGTACTAATTGTAAAATTGTGAAATGTTATTGTACTGTAAAATAACTGTTTAAAAGTAGTTTATAATTTAATCTAATAATTTATTCCAGTGATTTAAAGGATGAATTTATAGCTTTATTACTCAGGTCCTCAGAGTCACATGATCCTATAGAAATCACTACAATAGTAATTATTATTGTTATTGCTATTATTATTATTATTATTATTATTGTTATAATTATTAATGATAATAGTAATAAAAGCAATAATGACTGGAGTAATATTTTCATTTGACAATAAATAAAAAAGTAATAAATAAATAGTTAATAATTGACTATTTAACTTTTTTTTTACATTTAATAAATGTCGCCTTGACGAACAGAATAAATATGTTCTTATTATTAAATAAAATTAATAGTTTAAATAAAAACTGACCTCAAACTTTTGACTGGTAGTGTATATTAATAATGTTCTGAAACGGCATGTAAATGTAAAATATCTAAAATGTTTAAGTAATATAAATTATTTAATTTACCATATTATGTGATATATTATGCTATTAACACAGGCAGAAAAATGATTCTTTCAAGTATTAAGTTTTAATAGTGTAATTGTTTAAACCCATAAAAGAAACATTAGTATTAGAAAATAAGCAATAATAAAAATAAACCTATTTCTTTGGTTCAGACTGTTTTGGAAAAGGAAAAAAGCACTTCCAATGTTTTTAAACGACTATTATTATGACTATGATTATATTTTATTTCATATAATCAATTAGGAAATATTCCATTAAACTTTGGCTATCATTTCGTAACTAAAACTATTAAGAATATTCTTTGTTAATTTAAATAATGTCAAAATAAAATATGAATATGTGACGAATACTGTAGAAATGGTAATAAGTTGAAGTCAGAATTATTAGCCCCCCTGTTTATTTTTTCCCCAATTTCTGTTTAGAGAGCAGATTTTTCATCACATTTCTAAACAATAGTTTAAATAACTCATTTCTAAAAACTGATTTATTTGAACTTTGCCATGATGACAGTAAATAATATTTGACTAGATATTTTTCAAGATACTTCTATACAGCTAAAGTGACATTTAAAGGGTTAATTAGGTTAACTAGGCAGGTTAGGGTATTTAGGCAAGTTATGATATAATGATGGTTTGTTCTGTAGATCGGGAAAAAAATATTACTTAAAGGGGCTAATAACTTTGACCTTAAAATGTTTTTAAAAAATAAATATATTTAAAAAAAAAACTGCTTTATTTTAGTCACAATAAGACTACCTATAAAAGAATAAATATTATCAGACATACTGTGAAAATCCTTGCTCTGTTAAACATAATTTGGGAAATATTTAAAAAAGAAGAACAAATTAAAAGGGGATTTACTAATTGTCACTTCAACTGTGTGTGTGTGCATATATATATATATATATATATATATATATATATATATATATATATATATATATATATATATATATATATATATTAACAATAAAAAAAAAATAGAAAACCTAAAGCTAATATAAAACATAAATTATATAATATTGTTTTTTTAGGCAGCAAAGCGACCTTACAGCCCGGAGGATGATGTCCCTCAGCCGAAACGAGGACGTGAAGATGAGGATAATGAAGATGAAGGTACCTCAGCTGAGCAGAAGCTTCAGCAGTTGCAGGCGTTTGCCCAGAGTGAGAGTGACAATTTTAAAAGCAGCAATCCATCCTCCACCTGCTCTCAGAGTCACTGGCAGCAGATCGGCAGTCTGATGCTTTTCACTGCAGCCGGAGTCACTGCCAGCTCCAAAGTAAACCTTAAACTCACACAGCAAATACATACTGTCAGTGTTTCATCAGCAAAGTTAATGTATGCTTTATGTCTAAATTCAGATCGCAGGGTTTGACATTGATGGCTGCATTATTACAACAAAGTCTGGCAAAGTGTTTCCCACAGGTCCAGATGATTGGAGGTGAGTCTAGTTGAATGACTTTTACATTCTGGGTTGCACTTCTGGTTTGGGGAATTTCCATTGAAAAAAACTGAAACAAATCTTCTTTTAATAATAAAACCAAAACAGTGAGAGTGAGAGGATATTTTAGCTTTGTTTTTATTAAACATCATGTAAATAATGTTATCCTCAGTATTTTAAAGTTCATGTGAAACAAAAGTTGCTGCAGAATTTTATTTCAGTATGATGACATAAGTCCAACTAGAACGGAATATTGAATAAAGGGCGGGTTTTTTTTTTTATTCCGTCCGGACTGCCGTTTGATTTTTCAACTTGCATGTATAATCATTTACTTTAAGACAGATCAGTGTGCGATAGCTAAATAAACATTGCATTATTATATTTTGTATTTTTAACATGACATTAGTACCATAAGAATATCTGTGGCCAAAACACTTTTGAGTTCATGTTGTTTTGTTCCTACAGATTATATTCCCTATATAAAAATAAGTTATACTAATTTTCTCTATTTTTTCACATGATAATATTATTGACATGTTGAATATTATTGTAATCCATACATAACAAAAAAATCACATGCTTTTCTTTTGTTACATGCTTCTCTGTTTTTTTTTAAAGATGTTTTGGGATAATTATTTGCATGCTGAAAGTTTGTTTATTATAATAAGCATTATTTTAATATTCAAAGGATGTATACTGAGGTGAATAATTGCACCTTTTACTGTACACTGTTTTTTTTTTAAACACTTTGCTGATTGTGTACAGCTTAACAAAAGTAGCTCTCATAATTCACACAAAACATCACAGGCAGAGCAGGACATAATGTGGGGACATTGTTTTTGCTATTTCTGCACAGAAATATCTGGGGATTTCTGCAGATTAAATCTGAGAGAATAGTATCTTTAAAAAAATGCTTTAAAGCATGCACTTCAATCTCAACATGGTGCTCAGCCAAACAAGAGCTGGTATGCTTGAAACTGTTTACACACTTTTTAGGAGAATACATTTAATGCTTATGAAGCTTTGGTGTGGCTGCCTTTTCATATGCATTTTTGTAGATTATAGTAACTAAAAACATTTTAATAATAAACAAAATAATTTTTTAAATAAAAATATAAAGTTTACAATGCAAATTCAATAAACATCCACTTGTTTGGTACACATGCAAGTCTCTCATAAGATACATTTACTTAAATATTACTTTACAAACTGTTTTGGAAATGAAACATAAACATTGGCATATTGATCAATAAGATTGCTGAAATTAATATAAAAACTGATTAAGTATATATTAACGCACATTTACATAATTAAATAACTCGACTCAAAGATGGGCTGAAAACCTGCACATTTCTGTGTGCGCAGATTCTGCATGGGCCTAATCATGGGCCACAGGAAAAAAAAGTGGATACTCTGCATCTGTTTGGCTTCTCTCATACAATGTTTTTACTTTTGTTTAGGATTCTATACCCAGAGATTCAGCCCAAGCTGGCCAGTCTGTTAAAGAAAGGATATAAGGTGCTGTCACTTTATTTTGTGTACATCAGTCAATCTGTGAAAATGTCTGATAGCTGAAGATATTGTGTCAACGTAGAGAAACGTCTTCATTGCATTTGTCTCCTTCAGGTGGTGTTTTTCACCAATCAGATGGGTATTTCTCGAGGCAAACTTAGACCCGAGGTGTTCAAATCTAAAGCTGAGGACATTCTCCAGACGCTGCAGCTTCCCATTCAGGTTAATGATTCAACTTTCTGTAATAACGCTTACATTTTATTTAATAAAAAAATATTGTAAATATCCTAAAAGTTAATTTATTCCTGTGACATAAAACTGAATTTGCAACATTATTACTCCAGTCGTCAGTGTCACGTGATCCTTCAGAAAACATTTTAATAAGATTTGCTATCCAATAAATTTATAATCTTTTATCATCAATATTAAATAGCAGTTTTATAAAATCTGTGATGTGTTTCTGAGGATTCTTTAATGAATAAATACATAGTAAAACATAGCATTGTGAAACATAAGCATTTGTTTGTGATAGAAATATTTTGTGATATTATAAATGTCCTTATATAAATCTGTATGCTTTTTGAGTCATTAGAAAAACCGTTGACTGTTACCATGGTATTACTTAACCCCTTCTTATTCATTAAAATGTGTTTTTATTTAGTATTTTTATGAACACAAGTTTTATATGGAGTAGAACAATGTTGAAAACATGGCAATGGTCAATTTTGTTCTTACACAGACATTTAAGTTTTAAATAAAATAAATGATTAGTGTGTCCGCGGGTTTTTAAAAATTAATACAAGTTTATATCAATTATGAGAAAATTAAGGGCTTTAAAAGGTATGAAAAAGTCTTAATCACATTTTTACGAGGACTTAATTTTTGTTCAAGCGTTGTCCAAAGTGTTTTTACTCCAAAAAAGTATATAATATAAGTTTCTTCGCATCTGGCCAAGCTCCACCGTCCGAGTGTAGTGAAACCATAGAGCAAAACAGACAGGGAGATAGGAAAGTATATGTTTGCGTACTCCTGGTTGGAGAAAGATGAGTTTAAACAGTGGCTGAAGCCTGCCATTGAAAACAACCACGTAATTTATTCTTTCAAGCTTTGTTTCTTCCGAGCTTATCTGAGTTATGTTGCATGGTTGTGCTCCATTGATTTATTTAACTACAATTCTTTATTAACAACAGTTGATTAACATCTGTTTATTAAGTTTAAAGGTTTAATACTGATTAGAACTTTTTTTAGAAGTTTTGATGAGGTCTTCAAATATTCTGAGAAGGTCTTTTCCAAACTCCTAAAAAGGTGTTGAAATTACCTTTAGGATTCTTACATATACCCTGTTGATACATGCTGGCATGTTTAGTCAATTGTACATATTCATCTTTATATTCACTCTTTATATTTACTCTTACTTACAGTTGAAACCAGAAGTTTACATACACTGTATAAAAAGGCACATAACCATTTTTATGAAGTCAGATGCTAATTTGACTAAACTTTTTCTCTTTTAGGTAAATTAGGGTTATCAATTTAGTTTCTGTTATGCTTAATAGCAGAATATTGAGAGATATTTTTTGAGAACTTTTCTTGAAAGTCAAAAGTTTACATACAATACGATTACTATGCCTCTGAAAATGATGATGATGATGATAAAGATGATGGTGTCAAGGTTTTGGAAGTTTCTGATTGGCTAATTGACAAAATTTGAGTTAATTAGAGGCACAACTGTAGAATAGCATTTAAGGAAAACCTCAAACACACTGCTTCCTTGTATAACAACATGGGAAAATCAACAAGCCAGAATCAACAAAAAAAAAAGCCAGATTACAATTTGCTAAATTACGCTGGGAAAAAGAATAATTTTTGGAGACATGTCCTAAGGTCTGATTGGAACTAAGATTAAGCTGTTTGGCCATAATAACCAGTGTTACATTTGGAGGACAAAGGTGAAAGCGTACAAGCCTAGGAACACCATCCCAACGGTGAATGGGAGCGGCAGAAGAGTCTGGTCCAATTCATAGCATAGATGATATCATTAAGAAAGAACATTATGTAGAAATGCTGAAGCAACATCTCAAGACATCAGCCAGGAAACTACAACCTGGCCACAACTGGATCTTCCAAACAGACCATGACCCTAAGCATACTGCCAAATTCGTTAAAATGTGCTTGAAAAAAAAAAAAGTTGAAAAAGCTTGTGCGAGCAAATCTGCCTCAGTTACACCAATTCTGTCAGGAGGAAGGGGCCAAAATACCTGCAAACTATTGTAAGAAGCTTGTAGAAGGATACCCAAAACATTTGACAAAAGTTATACAGTTTAATAGCAAAGCTAAAAAAATACCAAGGAAATGGATGTAAACTTTTAACTGTTAAGAAATTAATAAAAAAATGTAAAGAAAAAAAATCTCTCATTATTCTGGCATTTAGCAAATGTAAATCATTTAGGTAATCCTAACGGAGCTAAAATAGTAAACGTTTAGTATGATTTACCATCAGACATTTAAAAAGAAATGGTTATGTTCCTGTTTTCAGAGTGTATGTAAACTTCTGGTTTCAACTGTATGTATAGAGAGGGGTACAGAAGTGAATATTTTACAGCAGATTTTTACAAATTAATTTGAAAATGAAACGTGCAGCATTTGTTATTTTATCTAAATGTTAACCTTTAAAAAAACTCTTTAAGATAAAGGACTAGAATGTATCTTGACAATTAATATATCTTTGTTTGACAAAAGTATTGATTTCTTGCTTTAAATACATTGACTTGTGGTGGAATAAAATTAAGTGTGGATATAATTTACAAATGAAAGTATATTGTCTTTTTCAGGTGTTTGTTTCCACAGCCCCTGGGATTTACAGAAAACCTGTCATTGGGATGTGGGAGCATCTGTGTGAGAAGGTAAATCACGATTACTTTTTTGTATTAGAGGGACTGCATTACTGTAGTGTTCCTATGTTATAAGCAGCAAGCCACATCATGTTTTGCTACACATTTACTGTGGTGTTTTGCAGGCGAATAGCGGAGTGATGGTAGACGTGTCAGAGAGCTTTTATGTAGGAGGTGAGCTCAATTGAATCCTTTTGAGTGTGATTAGCTTTGTAATATGATTATCTGTGATTAATATTGTACTTTTTTTTACAATGTGTAAGCTGAAATTACAAACGATGTCACTCACTTTTGCTTAAAACAAGCAAACTAAATACTCTATATTGATTGTGTGATGAAGACTATTAGAATGCAGTTAGAATGACCCCTAATTCAAGTTATAAAGCAAAAAAAAAAAAAAAAAAAAAAAAAACAACTCATGATTCTTTTTGCTATTTAAAGAAATAATAATATACAGTCAAGCCCAAAATTATGTATACCCCTGCCAAATTCTGACTTAAAATTATTTTTATTCAACCAGCACGTTTTTTTGTTTGACTGAAAATGACACAGGTTTTTCCAAAAGATAATAAGATGATGTACAAGAATACATTCTTTTAAATGTATTATGTGATAATGCAAGAAGATTCAAAATATTTTTGGTCATTCGTTCATTCATTAATTTATATATTCATGTACAGATGCAGCAGGACGTCCCGCTAACTGGGCCCCAGGGAAAAAGAAGAAAGACTTCTCCTGCAGTGACAGACTGGTAATGACATTAGGAGTCTTTATTGCTCATTGGATGACTGAAATAGCTAATTCAATACTGAATTACTGAATTGTGTATTCTTTTTAATTTACAGCATATGATTATTGCGTATAAAGTCTTTACTTTTTTTGGCCAGGAGAGGGCACAATAGGATTGTTCTTGCTCCATTTTAGTCAGCTTTACAGAATTTGAAATCCTTTAGATTTTTTTTTTCCTGTCCTTTGCCCACAGTTTGCCCTCAACATTGGTCTTCAGTTTTACACCCCAGAGGAATACTTCTTGGGCTGGAAACCTGCTACATTCAGCTTCCCAGAATTTGACCCAGTAAATGATTGCTTATTCCCCAATATTTATGTTTCGTATGTGTGTGCGTGTGGTGTGTGTGCGTGTGTGCGTGTGTGTGTGTGTGTGTGTGTGTGTGTGTGTGTGTATATATATATATATATATATATATATATATATATATCAATCGATTAAAAAAATTGACTAATTAATCGCACCTTTTAAAAAAAAATTTATTGCGATTAATCCTGCCTTCGAGTACAACAAAATTCATGCCAGGCTGCCAGCTCTAATCTTTTGAACAGTATTGAACAACATTACCAATATTCTGTCTTTCTATGCCATTGTCCAGAGGAAATTAGACTCTAAAGCACGTCTTTATGATCCGCCTGATGCCTCGCTCACCTCTACCAAGCAGGAAATCATTGTCGCTGTGGGATTTCCTGGAGGTGAGAGCTTTTTTCCCTTTGTTTTTTTCCCTACTCTAATCTGGAATTTTGTATAATCTAAACCTATTTTGTTTTTCAGCGGGCAAGTCAACGTTCTTCCAGACCCACATCATTCCAAAGGGTTATGCGTACGTGAACAGGGTGAGTAGTGATAAGCAACAGAGAACCAAAGGCCCTGTTTACAACTGCTAATATGTAATACACAGTTGAAGTCAGAATTATTAGCCCCTCTGTATATTTTTTTCTTAATTTCTATTTAATGGATTTTTCCCCCCCAATACATTTCTAAACATAATAGTATTAATGACTAATTTCTAATAACTTATTTATTTTATCTTTGTCATGATGACAGAAAATAATATTTGACTACATATTTTTTAAAATACTAGTATTCAGTTTAAAGTGCTTTTTTTAATGCTTAATTAGTTTAATTAAGCAAGTAAGGGTAATTAGGCAAGTCATAGTGTAACAATTGTTTGTTCTGTAGACAATTGGAAACAGTATTGTATAGGGGGTCTAATAGTATTGACCTTAAAGTGGTTTGAAAAAAATTAAAAACTACTTTTGTTCTAGCCAAAATAAAACAAAAGACTTTCTCCACAAGAAAAAATATAATAGCAAATTCTGTGAAACATTCCTTGCTCTGTTAAACATCATTAGAGAAACATTTGAAAAAGAAAAAAAAAAATCTCTGGAGGGCAAATCATTTTGACTTCAACTGGATGTAATTTGTGGTTTTGTCATTTTAATCACAATTTGACAAAGCTAAAACAGTTGCAAACTGGGGCTAAAGTACTCTGAGTTTGTGTTTTTGTGATCACTTCCAGGGTGCTTTCAAAGAGCAAAATTTAATGTTAGAAGCATTTTAACACCCACTACCTTCACGTAATTGTAAAGGGATGTTTTGTTGAAAATGTGTTGGAAAACAAAGGACTTATTATTTCATACCAAAACACATGGATTATGACTAAAATCTTAGTTGTAGAATAGCATTTGAGAGCACTTCCACCTGTGCAACTAAGTTCTACAGGTTGTGGCTCCAGCACCTGATTTGGTAGTTACTCATGCAATTTTAATAACTAATATAATATAACATTTATAACATCTTTGTCTTTTTTTGAAATGCACATTTGACAGTTGTGTGGCTTGGGAGTAGCAGGAGTGTGAGCTGGGGATCTGCATCACCTATTGTTTATCTGTAGATCGTCATGCGCTATTATAGCAAAGTTAGTAAAAGAAAATAGCTCAACTTTATGATTTTAATAACACTTGTTAGCTTTTACTTAAAGGAACTTCATACGCATGCAAATTCACAAATAATATTATTTATTAACAAATATAAAAATCTGTAATTAGATCACATTGCTTTTTAAATATACAGTGCATCCGGAAAAGTATTCATAGCGCTTCACTTTTCCTACATTTTTTTATGTTACAGCCTTATTCCAAAATGGATTAAATTTATTTATTTCCTCAAAATTCTACACACAATACCCCATAATGACAATGTGAAAAATGTTTTTTTTTTTTTACATTTTTGCAGATAATTAAAAATAATTAATATTACTTTAAAAATAAAGATTTAACTTTATTCTTATTACGAGTCCTGGCTGGGCCAGTTGGCATTTCTGTGTGGAGTTTGCATATTCTCCCCGTGTTCATGTGGGTTTCCTCCAGGTGCTTTGCATTCCCCCATAGTACAAAGACATGCACTATAGGTGAACTGAATAAACAAAATTGGCCATAGTGTATAAGTGTATGTGTGAATGCAAGAGTCTATGGGTGTTTTCCAATACTGGGCTGCAACTGGAAGGGCATCCGCTGTGTAAAACATATGCTGGAATAGTTGCTGGTTTATTCCACTCTGGTGACCCCAAATAAATAAAGGACTAAGCTGAAGGAAAATAAATGAATGAGTAAACATACAGGTTGCTATTAATGATCAGGGATGTGCAAATATAAGTTAACATAATATACAGGTTGTTATTTGCTATAAACAGTATTTTGGGTGTGAATTGCACAAAAATGTTTGATTGTTGTGTAAAAAAATCAACAAATGAGAATTCTTCAGTTATCCACCAATTTGCCACATTGTAAAATAATCATGAAACTATTATAAAAGTGTATTGATTAAGATATCTCTTTTAAATTGCAGGACACAATGGGCTCGTGGCAGCACTGTGTATCAGCTTGTGAACGTGCGCTAAAGGAAGGCAAAAGCGTAGCGGTGGACAACACTAACCCGGATCTAGAATCTAGAAAAAGGTGCCAGCCATTTCCAGAGCAGATGGATGCTTTTTTTTTTTTTTTTTTTTTTTTTTTAAACTTCTGGCCTTTTTATTGGCACCTAAATTGTGGAACTCTTTACTGATACAGATATTTGCAATGCAGAATCCCTGAGTATTTTTAAATCATCTCTTAAAACTCACCTTTTTATTTATTTATTTTTTATTTTTCTATTTTCTATTATTTTTCTATTTCTATTATATATTATTATTATTATTATTATTATTATTAATTTTTGATTTTTAATAAAAATTTTTATTGCACGTTTTTGCATTTATCCTTGTACTGCAGGGAAAGTATTGAACACGTCATGTTTTTTCTTGGGAATGACATTTCTAAAGGAGCTGTTCACGTGGAATTAAACCAGATTTTGTTAAAAAACTCAAACAATACAAGCATAAAACAAAACAAACAAAATCTGAAAAATTGTTATATGTAATAAAAATGAAATGACACAAGGAGAAAGTACTGAACTACTGGAATTTATTTAATGTTTTAAATTAAAGGCTTTTTAAATGATGGCAGCTTAAAGACACCTCTCACATATGGAGAATGAAGTCACATGCATTGCTCAGGTGTTTTTTTACAGATTTCAACAGTGTAAAAATCTTGAAGGTTCTGTGGGTCTCATCAATCAAATCTGATCTTTATTTTGTATAATCTATTGTATTTAAGTCAGGTGATTGGCTGGGCCATTATACAGCTTAATTTTCTTTCTCTGAATCTATTTGAGAATTTCCTTGGCTGTGTTTTAATCATTGTCTTTGCATATATGGGTTTGTTTAGTTGTTACCAATATCTGGGGAAAATTTCAAGTCAACAGCACCTTTAGAAATATGTTTTTGAGAAGAATGGTGGTGTTCAATACTTATTTTTCCACACTATGTATGTTTTTTTTGCTTCACATTTTACATGTCTTGAGATGTGACTATTAAAGGCGCCATATAAAAAAAAAGGTTTATTATTATTATTATTATTATAAAATTCTATCATATATGATTTTCAGATATATAGATGTGGCTCAAAGCGCTGGTGTTTCCTGCAGATGCTTCAACTTTACAGCCAGTCTGGATCAAGCAAAGCATAACAACAGGGTATCCGTCTTAACTGCAGTACATTAAATATAAAACTTTGCTTGGGCAAAATTATATAATAAAATTTTAAGCAGCAATCACTTTATTTTTCTTTTGGAAACTCTGTATCTTGACTTAAAATATGAAGGCAGAAATGCACACTCACTCTGATTGTCACACTTTCTTATCTGTCTTTTTTCCTGTCTTCAGTTTCGTGAGATGGTTCCTTCTGCAACTAAGCATGTTCCTGTCAATGACATGGTGATTCACAGCTACAAGTGAGTAAAAGAGCAGCAAGATGAGGTTATTGCAACCAAGATTATTGTTTTATTTCACTGAAACCATGTTGTTATCTAATATACAGCAGGTAAATGAACTAAAACTGGCATAAAATACATTGAAAACTTATTTAATTTCTGTTTGCCTAGGAAATATGTATTGTTTTCATTTAGCTTAATGTACTAAAATAGCAAACTATATTAAATCAATAAAAAATGTTCAATTCAACTCTAAATAAAATATTGTCTCATTACTGACTAAATTTATTGGCATAAATCTAAAACCATTATATTCCTTGAAATTGAATAATTGAAAATGTATTACAAATACTAAACAAACGAATAAGTATTGAATACGCTATGTTTTCTCCTAAGAATAATATTTCTTAGGGAGCTGTTGACATGGAATTGAAGCAGATTTTGGTCAAAACCCAAACAATACAAACATAAAAGTAAAACAAAACAAAAAAATCTGAGAGAGTTTCCTTGGCTGTGTTTTGGGACATTTTCTTGCTAAAATGTCCACTCAGGTTTCATTGTTATCATCCTGCTAATATAGATGTTGGACTAGAGCAGCTAATATTAATTTACAATGATGAAGGGCAGAGGGTTGCTGAAGAACTACAGAGATTTCAGCTGCTGTCTGGGCTTTCACCGCCTTTCTACACCTTCCTTTCTTCATGTGTTTAATACTTTTTCCCTGCATCATTTCATTTTATTACACATAACTTCATTTGTAAACTAATTAGATCTGTTTTGTGTGTATATATGGATTTCTTTTGTTGTTTTCAACATCCGGGGAACAAATCAAGTCAACGGCACCTTTAGAAATATGTTTTCTGAGAAAAATGGTGGTGTTCAGTACTTATTTTTCCCACTGCATGATACATGTTATGTTCCAGCTGCTAAGGGAATGGCTTATTTTCATTTACTTTAACTAAAAAAAGATTTGTTTATAAAAATTATTATGGTTAACTAAATATAGAACTATTAAACTAAATCCATTTTTTTTAAACGTTAAATACATGTATAAATAAAACACTGTTTTGTTCTTTTTAGGAAAAAGTTTGTGGTGCCCAGCTTGTCTGAGGGCTTTTCTGAAGTCCTGCAGATCCATTTTGTGCCCAGTTTCAGTGACAAAAGGTCAGAGTTCCTGTTCAAGCAATTCTCTGAGGGCTGAAGAGTGAAACTTGTGAGAAAAATCATGAAACACAATGGCTGACTCTAATTTGTGAAGAAAATTCTAGAACCTCATTTAAAATCAGAACATTAGTGCCAGTACAAGACTAATTATTATATTTTATTGTCTTCTTTAGGTGATTAAACTTGTCTTTAATGCTAGTTTTTAAATGTGGTGTTTGGGAAATGCATTCATGGCTGCTAAAACTGACGGGCTGTAAAGACAATAGAATTAAAATTGTCTTTTATGTATATTATTTTTTAAACTGGAGAAATAATTGCTTGTTTCAGATTGACATTCGCAATAAATACAATTAATATGCTTCAATATTGAAGTTTTTTTTTTCTTGTCTACAAAACATTTTTGTTTACTGCAAGATCTCAGAAATCAGAGAAAGCTCATCCTCTAAATGTTGTGTTTGTGTGTAACTCAATGTTTTTACCACAAACAGTGACTGTAGAACTGATGGGAGTGTGTCAATTGATGATTCCTTATCAGTTTTTCAACTTCTCACATTGTTTCTTAAACATAATTGAGTAATTATGGCTCAACACATGAGTTTGCATCAGTTTAAATGTGGCGTAATACTGCAGGTCATTAAAACACAAATATCTCCATTGTAAGAAAAAAAGATAATTAAATAAAATAATAAAATAAATAAACTGCAGACACTACAAAACAGTGGATAAACATACCGTATTAGTAATATTTTGCAAGTTTCTGCATTTGGTTTTTGTGTTTTGGGACATCTGCAGTTAAATTCACATAAAATTTTATGATATTCTACTTTTAATATGAGTTGACCACTTTTTTTGCATCAATAACAGATTTCCACAAAGTTTAGAAGTGTGTTTAGGGCAATTTTTGGCCATTGTCTAGAAGTGTATTTTTGAGGTCAGGCAATAATGGTAGATGAAAAGGCCTGGCAACATTTGTGCCAAAGGTGTTTTATTGGGTTAAGTTCAGGACTCTGTGCAGGCCAGTCAAGTTCCTCCAAGCCAATTCCACCCATTAATTTTTTTTTATGGATCTTTTGCACTGATATGCTGTCAAAAGTTCAGAAGAGGCATCCCAAGACTGTTTAATTGAAATTATCTATAATAATTTGATATGTTGAAGCATTAACAGTTACTTTCACTGGAACTAAAAACACTATTTGTATACATATATATATATATATATATATATATATATATATATATATATATATATATATATATATATATATATATATATATATATATATACATACATATATATATATATACATACATATACATACATACAGTACAGTTGAAGTCAGAATTATTAGCCCTCTTTTGATTTTTTTTCTTCTCTTTTTAACATTTGCCAAATGATGTTTAACAGAGCAAGGAAATTTTCACAGTACGTCTGATAATATTTTTTCTTCTGGAGAAAGTCTTATTTGTTTTATTTCGGCTAGAATAAAAGCAGTTTTAATTTTTATTAAAAACAATTTTGGGACAAAATAGTAGTCTCCAGATAGTCTCCAGAGCAATTAAGGCAAATGGGCTCCAACCCGGTACTTGAAAGGTGTACCTAATAAAATGGCCGGTTAGTGTATATAGCATAAATATTCATGTGAGCCTAGAAGTCACCATTACTTTTTGAGCTTGTTAATCAAAAGCTAGATGTAGAAGAGGAGATGTTTTTAGAAATTTGGTCTCAGAATAAAAAGAAGCTTGACTAAAAGATCTGCATGGAGGATCTTTCTCAAACCAATATAATACATTGAATGTGTTCATAAAAATACATTTAAAATTTAAAATCTGCTATCTTATTGCAGTGTTATAGTCATTTCTGCAAATTGTCCTCATGTTATTTCATAGATAAAAATTGCAGAACTTCAGCGCCTGCTAGACGACTGAATAGTGACCGTATAATTTAATGATCATCACTGGCAGAGGTACAATAACAGTGAATGATCATAATTAAAATCTCATAACGCCATAAAGTCCTCATTTACAGCTCTATGACTGAACTCAAATGAAACTAATGATTAACAAATATCACAGTCAGCTATCTGAAGAGACATTGCCCTACAGGGATATTTCCGTGAAGTAATGATTCTCCAATATGGCACTATAAGACAACACAAGTTATGTTAATATCTGTAATTACATGTTTTTATTGGCTTTAAACCCCTGTCAGTAGCTCTACAAATACTGAGTGATCATCAATGACTGCTGAAAGTAAATCTTAGGCCATGCTTTTCTTACTTAGATTTTTTATTCTTGTTTCTAGTCTGAATATTTAAAAATTCTTAAACCAAGAAGAATTTTCTAGACAAGCAAAACGTATTGTCTTGATTTAAGAAAAAATATGCCAAAATTAAGTGAGTTTTTTTCCTTAAAACAAGAAAAATAATAGTGTTTAAAATAAAAAACAAGATTATATATTTTTTTAACCTTATTGGCAGATTATTCAGCTTGTTTTAAGAGATAACTCATTCAGTTTGGGCACATTATTTCTTAAAACAAAAAAAATGTTTTTACTTGTTTAGAAAATGCTTCTTGGTTTAAGAAATTGTAGATATTTGGACTAGAAACGAGAAAACCTCTAGGTAAGAAAAGCAGTTTTTGCAGTGTGCACACGCACATAGGCATTTTTATAAACAGAGTTTTCCCTGCTCTCGATTGCACAAAAATGGACTGAAGCATGTGAAGGGCACACCGAACCAACAGGCGGCGGTGAGGTTTTTATGCTTGGTTCACATTAAATGAAGTATTTTTGCAAGCAAATTGCATAAAAGTCTATGTTCCTTTGTTTCTTTCTTTTTTTTCTTTTTTTTTTTCTCTCTGTATCTCAAAAAAGGAAAGTAGATTTCCCTTGAAGTTCTCCTGAAATTGCATTATCAGTGTCAGTTTCTTTTCCTCCAGCATTGAAATTGTTATTATTTGGCCAAATGTGAATTCTGTGTTATCTTAATGCATGATGCTTGAAAAAACTCACATCTGAAAAAATGAATGTTCGCACCCATCAAGTCTGCAAGAAGATGGAAAAGTCTAGCTCATTATCATAAATCACTCCAACATTTATAATCTTGCCAACAGCAGTCGGTAGTATCTTTTCACCAGGTGCAAATTCAAATGACTCATTTTCATACTGTCATGTTATTATTATCATGTGATTTATTGTGCATAAAGAGTTAATGCCAAAAAAATATAACTCTGTGATTAATTGACATGTCCTTACATGTAACATCTTTGGTGTGGGATATAGAAAAGATTCGGATAGCCATCCTGCGTTGCAAACAATGCAGATTACTAAATGAGTTTGCTGCGAACGTGTAGAATTTGCATTAAAATCTTCACCCTGGCTGGAGTTTGATTTCAGTCACACAATGCTCAGTTTTAACTGAGTACAGTTGTGTGGACAGGGCTTAAAATGTTTGCCTTGTCAAGTCATTATCAGTTGTATTACCCTCGGTGGTTTCGTGTATAAACTTCTCTTTGGTTGTTGGATTTTTTTCGGTATAATGCTTATGTTACCCTGTTGTTTGGATGTATTTTATCAAGTGGATTTCAAAAGAGGAATTTTCTTAAGATTTCCTCCTGTGTTCCCCTGGCTCCCTATCTTCCCTCCAGTAACACAAGTATGACAGATTGAAAGAAACGTTTATAAATTGAATGGAAGCCATTCTGAGTAATAAGATATGTAATAAGAAATGTTTTTAATCATTAACAGATTACACATCTGGTGAACCTTTATGTCATTCTTGATACACCATGAAATCATTTCTTGTAGCTGTTTTGCTGTTATTTAGAACCATTTATTTAAACTTAATCACTATAAGTAATGATTCTAAAGAAAATGTTAGCAGCGCTTACTCAGGCAAAACTCTGCAATGCCAAGCAGCATGTCTCTATGAAGTTTTAGAGCTGATCTTTTTTTTTTCTTTCTTAATTTTGCTATTTGCTAGGGTGCACTAAATGGTTGCTTGAATACACTGTAAAAATCTGTAAAAACTGAAAATTTACTGGCAGAAAATTACCAGGACATTTTCTGTTAAATATTTAATAAAAAACAAAAAAACAAAACAGAAAATCCAGTAATTTTACAGTATATGCTCAGTACAATTGACTTTTTTCCATTACGGCTTATGCAAAAACTTCAGTAAACTTTACACAGAAGCATACATTCGTAAAAACAATTTACCTATATAAAATGTACCTTTAACATTTTACTAAAGTGCATTAAAATACAAGGCCAATGTAGCTTTCCAGATATAGTACAACTAATAAAGCACAATGCAACTGAGAATACAGGTAAAGTAGCTGTAAAATGAAAATCAGATATGTTTCTTCAATTACACAGTAGTTTTTTTTAGATTGTTTCTGGATTTTTTGTGTAGTTATTATGGTTATAAAATGGTTAAAATTAAAACAACTGTCACACTTTTTGTACCTAAGTTAAGTCAGTGGTGCATTATGGGCTGATTTTAGGCTGCATTTTATCACTGACCCCTAAGAAAGTCCTAACGCACCTCAACTCAACAAGACTGTCAGTTTGATACCTCATTTATGGGTCTACAATGAATAGTGCAGGATGAGTTACATGCCAAGGTGTTGTCTAGCTGGATAACTTAATAGCTGCCAATACAAACACTACAGGCTTCTTGATGGTATGAACAATATAAAGCAACCTCCATGCTTTAAAGATATTTAGATTTAAAGATAATCGACTATGGGTTTACAGGAGGTTTAAAGATGGTTGATCGGGTTTGACTCGAAAGCAATGAAGGTGATTTGTGAACTGCTTCCCTGTGTCATACGAGCCCCTTCCATGTTTTTATGATACAATAATCCAAAGATTGGATGTCTTTGAATTTAAGCCCAATGCGCTTTTATTGCTAAGGAACACAAATAGTTTTGCAAGAGTGCGGTTACAGATTGTGCAAGAAAATTTATAAGACTGATAGGAGTCAAATAACCCCTGTCCCATGTCTCTATGGCATTGTGTACCAAAGACATCCATTCAGTTTTTTTTTTTGTAAAGGCAGATAATGAGATTGTTTACTATAGGGTGCTCTAAATGCTTGATAGGGCATGGCCTGACAGCTTCCTGATGATCCTGAGAGTCTGATTGGTAGACTAAGCAAAGTGAACCAATGTCTCTATGATGTTGTCATGTAATGGTCATTAACATTTGAATAACGAGAGTCTATAGAATCTATTTACTCCAGTGGACTATTGGTCCACAATCCTCCACAACTTTGGGCTGCTTCAAGCAACTCCTATGGATCCCCAAAAGATCCTTTCTCAGGATCCCCATATTATGAAGAACGCTGATGGTAAAAGTCAATT